TGCATTTTCATTGTGTTTCCATAGCAATCTATTAGAAGCAATCAATTGCTATCATTACACAGAAACAGGTACATATGAATGTGTAAAAAAAAAATATAAGGAAACCAACTAAAATGCATCAAATGCACAAATGTGTGTGGCCCCAAGAAACAAAAAAAAGACAGTGTTTATGGAAAAAATGGTGATAACGCACTCATAGGCTTTAGAGCAGTGATTCTATAACTGAGCCTGACATCAACCGTGAGGCATGTCATCAAAGTAAGCAAGGGATCAAAAGCTTTTCATTGAGACATTTCTATTTTCAGGTTTTATTTTCAATTCCTTATATGTTTCGTTATGCCCTAATGTTTGCTAAAATGCAATACATAGTAAACCATGAATGCAGTGTCACATCTTATATTAGTAAACCTAATCTCAATTAGATGAATGTGTGTGAATGAGTATCTTTTCCCTGTGTATACAGTGTACATTTACACTATATTGCCAAAAGGACACCCCTCCAAATCATTGGATTCAGGTGTTCCAATCACCTCCATGGCCACAGGTGTATAAAATCAAGCACCTAGGCATGCAGACTGCTTCTACAAACATTTGAGAAAGAATGGGTCGCTCTCAGGAGCTCAGTGAATTCAAGCATGGTACCATGATAGGTTGCCACCTGTGCAATAAGTCCATCCATGACATTTTCTTACTACTAAATACTCCACGGTCAACTGTTAGTGGTATTATAACAAAGTGGAAGCAACTAGGAACAGCAGCCACAAAAAAAAAATTAAAAAAAAAAAAATTACAGAGTGGGGTCAGCACATGCTGAAGAGCAGTGCACAGAAGTCAAAAGCTAAAGACCTCCAAACTTCGTGTGGACTTCAGATTAGCACAACAGTGAATAGAGCGCTTCATGGAATGGGTTTCCATGGCAGAGCAGCTGCATCCAAACCTTACATCATCAAGTGCAATGCAAAGTGTTGGATGCAGTGGTGTAAAGCACACCACCAACTGGACTCTAGAGCAGTGGAGACGTGTTCTCTGGAGTGCCGAATCACACTTCTCTGTCTGGCAATACGATGGATGCGTCTGGGTTTGGCGGCTTCCAGGAGAACAGTACTTGTTTGATTGCATTGTGCCAAGTGTAAAGTTTGGTGGAGGGGGATTATGGTGTGGGCTTGTTTTTCAGGGGTTGGGTTTGGCCCCTTAGTTTCAGTGAAGGGAACTCTTAAGGTTAAGCTTAAGACAATTTCATACTCTCAACTTTTTAGGAACAGTTTGAGGGTTGGCCCCTTCCTGCTCCAACATGACTGTGCACCAGTTCACAAAGCAAGGTCCATAAAGACATGGACGAGTGAGTTCGGGGTGAAGGAACTTGACTGGCCTGCACAGTCTTGACCTCAACCCAACAGAACACCTTTGGGAATTAGAGTGGAGACTACGTGCCAGGCCTTCTTGTCAGTCATCAGTACCTGACCTCACAAATGCGCTTCTGGAAGAATGGCTAAACATTCCCACAGACACACTTAAAGTTTGTGGACAGCCTTCCCAGAAGAGTTGAAGCTGTTATAGCTACAAAGGGTGGGCCAACTCAATATTGAACCTTACGGAATAAGAATGGGATGCCGTTAAAGTTCAAGTGCGTGTAAAAGGCAGGCGTTCCAATACTTTTGGCAATATAGTATATATTCTAGGGCTAGAAATTCAGTTACCTGAAAAATATACCATTTGTCTTGTATTATGGTTAAAAAAAAAACCAAAACAGTAGTTTGATCCCTGGTATGTGAGGGTAGGAGAAAATGATCAGCTGCAGGGAGACCACAGGCAATGCTGGTGACTAGTTCTTTGTCCTTTGCTGCCTATCTGGGCAAAGCTTCCAGACCCTGGCTAATTGACAACGCTGCTAGAAAAAAAAAAAAAAAAAAAAAAAAAAACTCACACAGCTCTGATGCTGTATAATTTAACTATGGCTGTTTGTAAACATACACAGTCTCAACTGATCACACAGCCCTGCAGCTTTCATGAATGAAAGATCAGCACTGTGGGGTTGTGTTATACACAGTACCAGTCCCAACAGCTCTGATTGTTCATTCATAATAACAAAACATGACTCAGCACTACAGGCTGTGCAATCCATATATCAGGGCAGTGTATGATAGATTATGGAGCCCACACAGCACTGAACGATCTTTTACTATTATGAATAAACAGGTAGCGCTGTCAGGTCAGTGCTGATTGTTCAATCATAATACTAAAGAGATCAATCAGCTTAGAGAGGGGGCGGTGCTCAGTGCTGGCTGTTCCTCTCTTCCCCTACCCCAGAAGCACCCATAAATTGAGCTTTAGACTGGAGTACAGCTATAGCCAGCATTAACTACTTGCCTGCTGCCCAATAGTAGAAGTACTGCTACAGAGTGGCAGGGCTGCGTAAAATCAAATATATATACATGATTTGCATCGCTGGGTAGGGGGCGCGCGTGCCGCTATTAGCAGCTAGGAATGCCAATCACTCGGCAATCATTGGGGAAAGCTGACAGGGGAGAGACCTCTGCGTAAACACAGGTCTCTCTCCTGTCAGCAAGGACATGCTGCTGTGCATTTCTCTGCACAGCAGAGAAATACACAGCAGCAAGTTTCCCTAGTAAAAACACACACAGCACATTGTTAACCCTTTGATTGCCCCAGATGTTAACCCCTTCCTGCCCAGTGTCATTAGTGCAGTGTCAGTGCTTTTTATTAGCACTGAACACTGTATTAGTGTCACTGGGGATATCAGTGGCAGTTAATCAGTTTCCACCTAGTGTCAGAATGCCCGCCGCAGTCCCGCTATAAGTCGCAGATCGACACCATTACTAGTGTAAAAAAAAATAAAAATTCTATATAGTATATATATATATATATATATATATATATATATATATATATATATATATATATACACACATATATATATACCCCGCCATTTGTAGACGCTGTAACTTTCACATTAACCAATGTACACATATTTGGATTTTTTTTTTTTTTTAGCAAAGACATGTAGCAGAATACTAGACCAATGTGTAGTATTGCGCTGCTCAAAAACACCAAACATAACATACATATAAATCCAAGAAACGTAAAAAACTCAATATAAGTCCAAAAGTAAAAAGAAGGCAAAACTTCAACAATGTAGGTGGGAAGATTGTATTCCTACTGGAGAGTAAGCCACAATCCTGGTGTTGTAAATCTTTAAATGATGTGCATCACCACAGTGACCATATGAAATAGGTGTACCCTCACCTTCATGTATGGGCCCATATAGAAAACAGGTCAAACAGGCATCTCCCCTCCTAGTGGGGGTAAAATAGTGGCCTCTCCTCTGTGGATAATCCGCCTTTCATATATAGTCACTGTATCCTCCAAGTAAACCTTTAATGGTATAGCGGGCTCTGCGGGTAGAACTCACAACCATATAAAGCAACCATAGTGCAGCACATTTCTTAAAACCTCAGAAAGTTTACGTTACAGTAGTAAAAAAAAAAACGCAGTGTGACAAAACTGTGGAGCTGTGATATACATTATGCAGTGTCTAGTGGTTTTCTGATGTCACCTGGCTCCTCCCCACATGAACCACATTACTTCATCAGGGGTAGCTAGGTGACATGAACAAGTTGTATTTATTGCCGGCACACATGGGCGTTCCCATTTTTATACTTATTTCTTATTGCTCTATATAGGATTTGTTGTCCTCTATATCCCCTTTTCCGTTAGCCTTAGGTGTATGTTATGTCTAGTATATTCATATAAAATTACCTCCTGACAGTTCTGCTTATCCTATATGGATATATTTTATTATGAAGAGATTAGAAGTTGCACCACTAGATGGCATTTAGTTGGAATTTTTTCCCCCAATTACTATAAATGAGAGGTAATTTTTTTGTTTAAAAAATAAAACACAGAGGTGATCAAATACTACCGAAAGAAAGCTCTACTTGGGGGGGCATACATTTTGTATATGTACAGCATTGCATGACTGCGCAATTGTCAGTTAAAGTAACAGCACTGTATAGAAAAAAAGTGGCCTGGTCAGGAAAGAGGGTACATCTTCTGGAGGGCAAATGGTTAACATACAGAGGCTTTTACTCTGCAAAAGCCGCCAAGAACGAAGATCCCCTGAGGGATAAAATAAACACCTTAAAACATTAAAGGAGTTCTTCTTTAATGTGGCTGTAAACCTCTGAAATGAAAAATGAAAGCATATTCCCCCATAGAGTGTACTTGCCTCAACCAAGAGAGCCAAGTGTGATTTCTGTCTCCTTTCTCATTCCTCTGCTATCTACATGAATCACATCTGACAGGTTATGCAGACACCAAGCAATCCTATGTGATGACCCCACCCCCCTCCAGCACGCAACAAGTGATTGACAGCCTTAGCTGTGCATATTTCCTTATGATATACAGTACCGTGCAAAAGTTTTAGGCAGGTGTGAAGAAGTGCTTTAAAAAATATATATTGTAACTATTTTTATCAATTTACAAAAAGTAAAGTGAGCATATGGAAGAAAAATCTAACTCACCATTTGGTGTGACTACCCATTGGCTTCAAACCAGCATCAAATACACTTGCGCACTTTAACCACTTGCCTACTGTGCACTTTTACCCCCTTCATGCCCAGGCCAATTTTCAGCTTTCAGCGCTGTCACACTTTGACAATTGTGCAGTCATGCAATATTGGACCCATTTTATAATTTTTTTACACAAATAGAGGTTTCTTTTGGTGGTATTTAATTGCCTCTGGGTGTTTTATTTTTTGCGCTATAAACAGAAAACAGAGCAAAAAAAAATTGCAAAATTTTATAATAGAAACAACTTTATTTTTTCAAAACAGGTAATTTTTCTCCTTCACTGATGTGCGTTGATGAGGCTGCACTGATAGGCAGCACTGATGGGCACCGATAGGTGGCACTGATGAGGCGGCATAGATAGGCGGAACTGATATGCAACAATGATGGGCACAAGTGGGTGGCACTACTAGGCAGTGCTGGGCACAGGTGGGTGGCACTGCTGGGCACAGGTGGGTGGCACTGATGATCAGTGCCCTGATGATAGGTGCCGATCTATCCTCTGACAATTACCGGTTATCGGCAGTACTTTCCTCATACTGTGACAGCGTGAGGAAAGTGCAATTGATAACCGGCAACTGCATTTACCGCTGATCTACTGTGTCATTGGATACAGCTGATCACATGGTAAAAGGCCACCGTGATTGGCCTTTTACCACATCACTCCGATCAGCTGTGTCCGTAGGACACAGCAATCACGGAGATTGCCGGGTACGTGCCCCCGGCGGTGCGCGGGAGGGCATGTTCTGGGAGGACGTCATATGATGCAATCCCAGAACTGGACAATCGCACTGTAGCCGTCATTTGACTATAGCACGGTTGGCAAGTGCTTATACACTTGCACAAAGTCAGGGCTTTTGTAGGATCAGTGTCAGGTGTATGAATTATACAAAGCAGGTGCTAATGATCATCAATTTCATATGTAGTCTGAAACACAGTCATTAATGAAAACAGAAACAGTGGTGTAGGAGGCTTAAAACTGGGTGAGCAAGAGTCAAACTCTTTGACTAAGGTGATGTTGTGGAAGACAGTTTCTTGTGACAAGTCATACATCATGGCAAGACTGAGCACAGCAACAAGACACAAGGTAGTTATACTGCATCAGTAAGGTCTCTCCCAAGCAAAAATTTCAACACAGAATGGGGTCTCAAGATGTGATGTTCAAGCTCTTTAGAAGAAGCACAAAGAAACTGGCAATGCTGAGTAATGTAGATGCAGTGGTCAGCCAAGGAAACTTGGTGTAATAGAAAGACACATGCTTACTTCTCTTCGACATCAGAAGATGTTCAGCAGTGCCATCAGCACAGAACTGGCAGAAAGCAGTGGGACTCAGGTACCCCCATCTACTGTCCAAAGAAATCTGGCCAGAAGTGGTCTTCATGAATGAATTTCAGCCAAAAAGCCCATACTTCCAATGTGGAAACAAGGCTAAGCGACTCAACTATGCATGAAAACATAGGAACTGATGAGTCAAAATTTGGCTGCAGCAGGAGACTGCAGAAGGACTGGAGAATGGTACAATGATGAGTGTCTGTATGCAACAGTGAAGCTTAGCAGAGGCGTCTTGCAAGATTGGGGCTGCATTTCTGCAAATTGAATAGGGAATTTGGTCAGGATCATTGCTCTCCTCAATGCTGAGAAATACAGGCAGATGTTGATCCATCATGCCATACCATCAGAGAGGAGTGTGATTTGCCCTAAATGTATTCTGCAGCAGGACAACGACCCCAAATATACTCAATGTCATTAAGAACCATCTCCAGTGCAAAGAACAAGGAGTCCTGGAAGTGATTTGAGGAAGCCTACATCCACTGAAGCTCTGTGGTTAGTTCGCCAAGATGTTTGGAACAAACTACGTGCCGAGCTCTTTCAAAAACTGTGTGCAAATGTGTCTAGAAGAATTGAAGCCGTTTTGAAGGCAAAGGGTGGTCACACACCAAAATTATTTATATATTGATACACACACACATACATACACACGCGAGTACACCCCTCACATTTTTTTTTAAATATTTTATTACATCTTTTCATGTGACAACACTGAATAAATGACACTTTGCTACAATGTAAAGTAGTGAGTGTACAGCTTGTATAACAGTGTAAATTTGCTGTCCCCTCAAAATAACTCAACACACAGCCATTAATGTCTAAACCGCTGGCAACAAAAGTGAGTACACCCCTAAGTGAAAATGTCCAAATTGGGCCCAATTAGCCATTTTCCCTCCCCAGTGTCATGTGGCTCGCTGGTGTTACAAGGTCTCAGGTGTGAATGAGGAGCAAGTGTGTTAAATTTGGTGTTATCGCTCTCACTCTTTCATACTGGTCACTGGAAGTTCAACATGGCACCTCATGGCAAAGAACTCTGAGGATCTGAAAAAAAGAATTGTTGCTCTACATAAAGATGGCCTAGGGCTAGGCTATAAGAAGATTGCCAAGACCATGAAACTGAGCTGCAGCACAGTGGCCAAGACCATAAAGAAGTTTAACCGGACAGGTTCCACTCAGAACAGACCTCGCCATGGTCAACCAAAAAAGTTGAGTGCACATGCGCAGCGTCGTATCCAGAGGTTGTCTTTGGGAAATAGACGTATGAGTGCTGCCAGCATTGCTGCAGAGGCTGAAGGGGTGGGGGTGTCTGCCTGCCAGTTCTCAGACCATACGCCGCACACTGCATCAAATTGGTCTGCGTGGCTGCCGTCCCAGGAAGAAGCCTCTTCTAAAGATGATGCAAAAGGAAGCCCGCAACCAGTTTGCTGAAGACAAGCAGACTAAGGACATGGATTACAAGAACCATATCCTGTGGTCTGATGAGACCAAGATAAACCTGTTTGGTTCAGATGGTGTCAAGCGTGTGTGGCAGCAACCAGGTGAGGAGTACAAAGACAAGTGTGTCTTGCCTATAGTCAAGCATGATGGTGGGAGTGTAATGGTCTGGGCCTGCATGAGTGGTGCCGGCAATGGGGAGCTACAGTTCATTGAGGGAACCATGAATGCCAACATGTACTGTGACATACTGAAGCAGAGCATGATCCCCTCCCTTCGGAGATTGGGCCGCAGGGCAGTATTCCAACATGATAACGACCCCAAACACCTCCAAGATGACCACTGCCTTGCTAAAGAAGCCGAGGTGATGGACTGGCCAAGCATGTCTCCAGACCTAAACCCTATTGCGCATCTGTGGGGCATCCTCAAAACGGAAGGTGGAGGAGCACAAGGTCTCTAACATCCACCAGCTCCGTGATGTCATCATGGAGGAGTGGAAGAGGACTCCAGTGGCAACCTGTGAAGCTCTGGTAAACTTCATGCCCAAGAGGGTTAAGGCATGCTAGAAAATAATGGTGGCCACACAAAATATTGACACTTTGGGCGCAATTTGGACATTGTGACGTAGGGGTGTACTCGCTTTTGTTGCCAGCGGTATAGACATTAATGGCTGTGCGTTGAGTTATTGTGAGGGGACAGCAAATTTGCACTGTTATACAAGCTGTACACTCACTACTTTACATTGTAGCAAAGTGTCATTTTCATGTTGTCACATGAAAAGATACAATATTTACAAAAATGTGAAGGGTGTACTCACTTCAGTGAGATATTGTATATCTCTCTCTCTCAAATGTTATGTCTGTGCCAAAGGTTCTAAAAGGTCTGATATTCAAAAAAATCAGCTGCTGTATTAGAATACCTCCTGATATTCAAAATCAATCTATCCATTTATTGTGACTCTCCAGTTTTATGTCTTGCCTCTTTTTTCTAAAACCTACCAATTTTATATCGTGAACAATATAGACATAGGCACAAGACGTCATCTTGCACAGCAACTAAAAGCACCCGTTCTTACATCCAACAGGAAGCACTGGTGGAGCCAGCATTGTCAATTAAAAAGCCTAAGCTGTGATACTTGTTTCATTTTGTGTTGGAACTGGCCCCTACAAATCTAAGTACTGTGGATTAAAGTTTTAATAAGAAGAGTCGACTGCAGTATGCCAAAAGCCATGTGGACAAACCACAAAAGTTGTGGGATAGTGTTCTGTGGACTGATGAAACAAAATTAGATAGAACTGTTTGGCCCATGGGATCAACGCTAGTGTTTGGAGGACTGAGAACAATTTTAATAAACAGTTTTATGTGATGTCTATTTTGTCTTGCTTCCTCTTCATGTGTATGAAGGGAACGCATGAAAGTAGGCTGGCTTGGCGGTTTATAAGAAGGTGCAAAGGACCCATTTATACAGGGGCTTCAGCTCAGTACCATGTCTTCTCTGGAAACGTGATGCAGTCCGTTGAGCTTGGGAGACTGGGTGATCCCAAGCATATTCCACTAGAGCATGGTTGCAGACTTGAGATCACACTGTGGTGGGTGCTGGTGTAAGAATACCATAGGCCTTTATGGGCGAAGATACATCGCTGCAAGACACTTTTTAACGATCTGCTGGAGAATAAGTAATATGAGACTGTGACCTGTTAACTGTTAGATTTGTCTGACCTTGGATAAAAAGCTGAATTCCATGCACTGGACACAGTGGGGGTTGAATAATTTTTCACAATGATTACAGTTAAATTGCAAAGTGTGTGGACACTTTTTTTGCACTACATTTTATTTATTGTTTATAATCTAAATAGGGCACCTTTAGGATTGTTTTTTTTGCATATGATTATATGGATCAAAGATGTTTGATTGCATTCATAGCACTTTACATGGCACTGAATGAATATATTGTTCATGATATACAGGTGAAACTCGAAAAATTAGAATATCGTGCAAAAGTTCATTTATTTCAGTAATGCAACTTAAAAAGGTGAAACTAATATATGAGATAGACTCATTACATGCAAAGCAAGATAGTTCAAGCCGTGATTTGTAAGAATTGTGATGATTATGGCTTACAGCTCATGAAAACCCCAAATCCTCTGAAAAGTATAAGCATGCATATACACTCAGTACTTGGTTTGGGCCCCTTTTGCAGCAATTACTGCCTCAGTGCGGCGTGGCATGGAAGCTATTAGCCTGTGGCACTGCTGAGGTGTTATGGAAGACCAGGATGTTTCAATAGCGGCCTTCAGCTCATCTGCATTGTTCGGTCTCATGTCTCATCTTTCTCTTGGCAATGCCCCATAGATTCTCTATGGGGTTCAGGTCAGGCGAGTTTGCTGGCCAATCAAGCACAGTAATACCACGGTCATTGAACCAGGTTTTGGTGCTTTTGGCAGTGTGGGTAGGTGCCAAGTCCTGCTGGAAAATGAAGTCAGCATCCCCATAAAGCTTGTCTGCGGAAGGAAGCATGAAGTGCTCCAAAATCTCCTGGTAGACGGCTGTGTTGACCCTGGACTTAATGAAGCACAGTGGACCAACATCAGCAGATGACATGGCTCCCCAAATCAACACAGACTGTGGAAACTTCACACTCGACTTCAAGCATCTTGCAGTGTGTGCCTCTCCATTCTTCCTCCATACTCTGGATCCTTGGTTTCCAAATGAGATGCAAACGTTGCTC